TCATATCATTGATATGCCAGTCTACTTGCAAGACATGCCCACGCTCTTCAGAATTCAGAAAGAACCACAATGTCGAAAAGGACTCCTCTAGCAGCGCGTCGAAATAAATCACATAATCATCGTAGTCACTGTCCATGATCGAGGCCACAGTGCTTGCACGCTCATCGGCAACCAGAATCCAGTCCGAGTCCAGAGACTCACTGTCACTGCACGACATCGACGACATCTGCCGGCTTGCAGGGGGGCCTACTACGACTTAGACTAGAGACAGAGCAGGTCGTCGGCATCACTGCTTTCATCGAGCACACAATTGTCCAACGATTAAAACATTAACAGTGACTAATGCATCACTATATAGTACATTAATCAATGATATGTAACATTTTGTTACTACTGTTACATCAGTATGCATGAATCGCTTGATTCTCTGGCCGGCAGATGTCGATCATGTATGGTGCAAGTCAACTCACTGACAGACTATGCAGGCAGGCAGCCAGCCTCGGAGACAGCAGGGTCCTGAGGACATCACTGCCACCCGGCACTGTGTAGTCAGCATGTCATGCTGGGTAACCGTTTTGAATCCAAGTTGCGCACACTACCGCTGAGGTCTCAAATCGGACAGTCTAGCTCTGCTGGCTAGATCGTCGAATTCAAAATCCCCTAAACACACGCAAACCCGGCACTCTGCCTTCCCCAAGATCCGTGATACTGTCGCGGAGGCTGTACAAACACGACAAATCATTGATTCAGTGACGACAGCCATTCGTCTGTCACATTGAAATATAAAATTCCTGGCACTCTGCCTTGCCTAAAATCCCGCAAAAGTCTCGGAAACAGTACGAACATGATCTGTTCATTGATATGGAAGGCTGCTCGAAAGACTTGCCCACGCTCTTTAGAATCCAGAAACATCCACAATGTCGAAAAGGACTCCTCTAGCATCTCGTCGAACGGAATCACATAATCATCGTCGTCAGCACTGTCCGCGACCGAGCCCGCAGTACTTGCACCCTCATCGTCAACCAGAACCCAGTCCGAGCCCACAGACTCACTGTCACTCCACGACATCGACGACATCTGCCGGCTTGCAGGGGGGCCTACTACGACTTAGACTAGAGACAGAGCAGCTGTAACACGACTATAGTAGATTACGCAGGGCAACAGCGAGCACAACTGCTGCAGCGGCAAGTTGCGATACATGACACGCTCACTGACTATGCAAGGCAGCTTGTCCTCTGCGATGGCAGCATGTCCTCGGGATCCTCGTCATGAGCCTCGGTGCCAGGACTGTACCATAATAATGGAAGTAGCTGAAGCAAGCTGATGCTGAGATCCCAGCAGTTGGCATCCACTTCTCGATGGGCTGGAAGCCGATGAAGACCGATGGGAGAGAAGGAAATGGAAGAGAAGGCGTTCACTAGGCTTGGATTCAAACCGAACACTTAGACCTGGCCAACGGTGTGGGGAGCAACCCCGATGGGGCAGGGACTTAAGTAAGGCAACCTCGAGAGGCTCGACTGGCACTCTGCCTCTGTCGATCCAAGTCGCAAGGCTCCCTAACTAACGTGACAAGCATGGATGGCCTCCCCTCCTGGTTGGGAGAAAAATAAAAAAGCCACAACCACTGGACCACCCCACCCGGCACTTTAGCCCATGTGCCCGGGTGTCATATGCCACTGCCCTGGCACGTTGGCCCCAAGGCGGTCCAGGTACCATCGACAACACCTGACACCCGGCCAACGGTGTCCACGAACCGAGATGGGCAGTCGATCCGTGTGGGTAAGGTGGCACTCTGCCTCTGTCGATCCAAGTCGCAAGGCTCCCTAACTAACGTGACAAGCATGGATGGCCTCCCCTCCTGGTTGGGAGAACAAATCAAGCCGCAACCACTGGACCACCCCACCCGGCACTTTAGCCCATGTGCCCGGGTGTCATATGCCACTGCCCTGGCACGTTGGCCCCAAGGCGGTCCAGGTACCATCGACTCAGCACCTGACACCCGGCCAACGGTGTCCACGAACCGAGATGGGCAGTCGATCCGTGTGGGTAAGGGCAAGGTCTCAAGGCAAGTCAACATGTCACTACGGCCTCCCTTCTTTGTTCAATCACAACCCAAAACTATTTAAAAAGATTAAATTTTAAAAATTATTAACTTCAACAACAAATAAACAACAATTTTGTAGACATACAGCAGCAGGAAACCAGGTAGAACAACAGGAAGCCAATTGACTCACTCAGAAACAAAATTCACAAACATGTATTTTTTACACCAAAAATAAAATAAAAGAATTTTAACAACTGTAAAACACAAAAAAACCTATTTAAAAAACTTTTAAATACAAAACAATACTTTTAAATACAAAAAAACACTTTTAAACACAAATAAAGCCAACCACATACAAAAATGAGATTTTGGGTTCCTTTCATATAAGCCTTGTTGATCTAAACCCTGTGGTTCTGGTTCGGCGCAAAGGGTTAAGGATAGAAGTTCCTAGCGACGCAAAAGGTCAAGGGCTCAACCATGACCAGGCTGAGCCACTTGTTCACAGCAAGATTTCTCTCCTCGTTGATCATAACCTCCCAAGAAGTGTGTTTGAACTTAGCCATCTTAGCACACACCTGTTCAAGCCCTTCCGACCTGATGAAGCGAGGAGTCGGCACTGCCGGCTGGCTAACAGAAGGGCTTACTGGGACAACAAGGGGGAGAGGTCCAAGAGGAGGCGGCAGGCGGGGCCTAGGGTCAAAATTAACAAGCGCATTATTCCAAGGATCCTTCCAAACTGACCTCGAGTCTCTCAGGCACGACCTCAGGTGAAGCCCGTAACTCGAAGGAAGGGAGCTGTCCTCATCATCCCCCATTCTACTACAGCCCCGAAAATCCCAGTGCAGGCACAATCACTCGAAGCGGAAAGCGCGTGAGACGCGCTGCACAAGCTGCTCCAGCCACCCCAAGCGAAGGGAGCGCTGGTATCTTTCGGCCTCAAGGTTCAGTATCTGTTGGCGAACGTCCTGCAGTTCTGAACGCAGCAAAGCAAGCTGCTGTTCAAGGGAATTAGCTTGAAGCTGAACCTCGTGCAAGTGGGCCGAAATGGCCTCCTGAGTGTCGCTCGAAGACGACTCGGCCGCAAGGGTCGAGCTCAGATCCATCCGAGCCCCTGCGGGGCTCTTGCACGGCGCTCTAAGAGCAACACCGAGGTACGGAGGACTCAGGCCTGTTAGAACGGAATTACAAGCCTCTAGAGAGCCCTAAAAAACAAAATTTCTCGCTGTCTTCGAGACTGAGGCAACGGTATGCGGTGCAAATCGTCAATCGCAGCAATTGAAGCAGTGCTATAAGCAACCGAGAACATGCCGCACAAGTGGTTAAAAATTGCATCGCAAATACTTTGTTTGCCACGTGTTTATGAATGTTGATTGCAAATCCGTTGCTCGAGAAACGAGTGCACTACTAAGAGTAGTGCGTAGATTGTTACGGCCCAAAATTTTGTGATGCGACAAAATTTCGTTTGACCTAGGATCTATAAAACATCGACACGCACGCGTGAAGAGATGCTGGTGGGGCTGAGCCAGGGAGCCCTTACCCTGGATCAGCGCATTGGTGTTGGTGGGTGTGAGGGCTGCACGCCAGCTTCGGTAATGTCGCCGGTGAGCGGCTCTGTTGGTGATGCGTTGTTGTGCTCGGCCTTTGCGGGCGTCCTTGCTGCGGAGCCCCCGCCACATTCCTCGATCCCGAAAAATCTGAACATATTACGGAACTGTGAGAGAATACAAAGGAAAAGGGATGGGGATGGCTCAGCGCACCCGGCTCGCCTATGGGAGGCGTGCTTGCATGCATCAAACTAATTCGCTCCCTTTCTTTCCTCCTGTGCGGTCGCAGTGTCGTTTCTGTGAGAGGTCCACTGAAAAAGCACTCCGTGCTGGAAGATCGGGCTCCTGTGCGCCTGCCAACTTTTCAAGCCGAGAGCCTGGGACGAGGGCAGCCTGTGAGAACTGCCGGGGCCGCTGCAGAACCCAAGTGCCTCAACTGTTTGCCCTTGACCCAATCCACCCACTGCTCTGTGGAGTATTTCGAGATATCATAGCCCAGGTTGATCTGGGTGATTTTCTCATTCTCCACTTCTTGGTCGAGCTCCGCCTGTGAGTCGAACGGGTAGTAGGGCTCTTTGTGAGATCGGGCTCTCCGCTTGGCTCCATGCTGTCGAAGGTGCCTTCCGTGCCTTCCTTCTCCACCTCCGTCTGTGAGATCTTGTTGAAACTAAAGGCTTCTCAAGCCTTCCTTCCCACTCTACTCGCAAACACACTTTTCTCACTTCGCGGGCTGACTTGCTTAAGCCTCCGTGTCGCGGTTCACACACATGTTTCATGTGTTCTTGTGATTACTCTACACACTCTACTTGGGACTACGTGCACTAGGTTACAAACGAACACCCCGCCTCAGAAAGTTCTTGCGGGTTCCTAGGGTGTTCTCGGAAACTGCTAGGGCTTTCTGTACAGTGCTTTCGCTAGGGACTTTCGTCTCCGTTCTTCCTGGTCTTTTACCTAGCTGCACTCCTGCCCTGTTGCTACTTAGGCCTTCTATGTCTGTACATTGGCCTTCTTGAAAAACTTACTCTGTATGTACAGCTACGTTCTAGTTAGGTCCAGCCTATGGCTACGGACTCTTTGCGGGGAGGCCCGTACCCCGGTTTCCTTCTGCCCTTACGTAGCCTACGGGCTTTTCTTCTTTCGGGCTTCTTTTCTTGTTCTTGGCTTCTCCGGCTTCTTGCCTCTTCTGGCCCTTGTACCTTCCTAACCTGCCTGGTGTGAAACTTCTTGTGAGACTTTGGAAGGTTGTAGCTTACTTAGGCTTACTGCCCCAGTTTGCTACGTCTATACAGTTGCTCACATTTTGTACATGAATTCATTTGCTAGTATACATCAAGTCTTACGTTGCTTAGCTATGTACATATGTACAAGCGTTCACTGCTTGACCTGCTTGATCATCCTTTCTCGGGATCCATTCACTGGGTCTGCGCCCAGTTCTTGGACTTCTTGCCTTTGCTCTTTCCTTTGGGTGTCCACTGGTCCCACTGGTTCTGCTGCGCCCACTCTTCTGGCGTCTGCCAGTAGCCTTTGTTGTGCGGGTTCGCGTTCTCGTACCAGCCACTGCCATCGTCGGTGGTGTTCCAGTTCTCGTTGTTCCACTGCTCGCCGTACCACCAACTGTCGTTCTGTCCGTCGTCCCAGGGAGGGCCTTTTCCTTTGGTTCCTGTGTTGTCGTTCTTGCCCTTCATGCTGATGCGTCGCTGCACCTCTTCCTCGATCTTCTCGTTCTCCTTGCCTTCGAGGTACTTGTCGAGCTCCTTTCCGTCCACGAACCACACGTTGTGCTTTCTGTAGCACTCCGTAACTTTGTTCCAAAGAAGGCGGCCTTTCACCGGAGCGTTCTTGATTCTCGGGCTTCCTTTCTTGTCCTCGCACTTCACGCGGTACTCCTGGGTCTTCTTGTTGAACTCCCACACGTAGCCAAGCTGCGTGAACTCAGCTATGTCGGGGTCGACGGTAGCGTCGTCTCCTTGGTTGCTTGACGGCTTCTCTTCTTGGTCTTCTGTCTCTACCTGCTTTGGCCTTTTTCCTTTCTTCTTCTCGTCTTCTTTTGCCTGTGCCTCTTTCTTCTCTTTCTCTTCTTCTGCTTTGGTCTTGTACGCTTCTTCTGTCTCTTCTTCACCTTCGCTTCCAGACAATGCTGCACCTATGGTTTCCTTGAGGCTTTTGACCTTCTTCTTGTACTTCACGATCTTGTCCTTAGCTGCAAGTAGAAGTGCGTCCACTTCCTTCGAGTAACCTTTGAAGTACTGGTAGTCGTCCTTGAGGCTCTTGTAGTCGTACTGGAGGTCGTCGAGCTTTTGGTTCCTTACTTTCTCTTCTTGCTTTAGCACTTTAAGCTCTCTCTCCAAGTCCTTCTTTGCGTCGTCCACGTACTTCTTGGCGTACTCTTCTCTCTCCTGGTCGTAGCCGGCGGTTCTTTCCTGGGCTTTTCTCTCTCTCTTCTCTGCTTCTTTGTTCTTCTTCTCAACCTCTGCTTCTCTTTCTTTGACCTTCTCCTCAGCTTCTTCAAGGGCTGTCTCCTTCTCGCTTAAGGCTTTGGCTTGTCCTTGGAGGGTCTCTAGGTCTTTCTCTACCTTCTCTTCTCTCTCTGTGACTTTGTCTTCCTTTTCCTTCACCTCCTTCTGCTTTGCCAAAAACCTCTTCACTGTCTCCTCAAACTTTGTCTTTTCTTCGCTAGATTCTTTCTTTTCCTCTTCAAACTTTTTCTTCTGATCCTCAAACTCCTCTTTTTCCTTATCCAAACTTTCCTCAACTTTCTTCAACTTCTCTGCTCTCTCAGACGCTTCTTTCTTTGCCTCGCTGAGGGAGTCGACGTCGTAGTTCACCTGAGCGGCAGGAGCTTCAGTCTTCGCTTCTTCTTTCTCTGCTTTCTTCCTCCTTCGGGTCTTCTTCTTCTCTCCACCTCTGCTTCCTGAGCTGCTTTCCTCTTCTTCTCCACTGCTGCTCCTCTCTTCTCTCTTCGGCTTCTTGTGCTGCTGTGGCTTTTTCATCTCGTTGACGACAAACCATGCCGCCATGCACACCAAGGCGAGCGCCACCAGGACTTCCAGAAGCGACATGCTTCCAGGACTGCTTGGGACTTCTTGTGGGCTTGCTACTTCTTGAGCTGCGGCGAAAGGTACGTATTGTACGTAGGCTGCCTCAGTCTTCGCAAACAAACTCGAAAGTGCAAACAACATGCTGCTCTTGTTCTTCATGATCTTCTCGAGTCTTCTCACAACTTGTGCTTTTTCTTCTTCCTCTCGCTCTTGCTCTCCAACTCTTCCTTCGCTGCTGCACATGCCGATCATGTTCAGGAGAAACTTCACTCTCTTCGTGCTAAGAGGCTTTGTTCCTAGGTCTGCTGTGTTCTCCTTTGCGCCGACTGCGTGTACAGTAAGCTTGCCTTCGCGTATTGCTGCTTGTAGCCAAAGTAAACGAATCTGCAAGTGCTTGACTCTTCCTGTTCCTTGGCGGTTTGTGATTCCGCGGCATGCGGAACTGTCTGTGTATGCTTTAAGTAGTACTCGTTCTCCTGTGAGAAAACGAACGCGTGTAAACCTATTCCTTCGCTTGCTGCTCCTGTAAGTGCCATGTATTCTGCTTCTGCTGAAGACAATGCTATTGACTTCTGTATCCTGCTGTAGCTGTAGAAATATGCACCGTCCAGGTAGAACATGGCGCAACTCACTGACTTCCTAGTCTGCTTGTCTCCGGCCCAGTCGGAGTCGCTAAAAACTTCGAGCAAACGTTCACGTGGTTGTCCTTGGGGTTCTTGTAGTTCCTGTGGTTCTTCGGCGCGATGACGTAGAGCTGACGTTCCTGTGCTGTTCTTGTGGTACGTAACAGCGTAGTCTGACGTTCCTTTGAGGTAGAGCGCCAAGTGCTCCAGTTCCTTTCTTTTGCGTTCCGTTGGCTTCGTCATGGCAGTACTTAAGCTACGTACTGCGAACTGGATGTCCGGACGGTCGTGCGCCAAGTACAGCAAAATGCCAACACAACTTCTGTACGTTCTCGAGTGTTCCTCGTCCAGTTCTTGGGATACGGCAGGTTCCTGACTGGCCGTTGTGCAAGGTGAGTTCTTGGCCCTCTTCTTCTCCAGCTTGAGGATCTCCACGAGTTTCTTCACGTACTTGCTATCGCTATGTACTCGTAGTTCATGATGTTCGTACGTGTACTTCCTTTTGAGAAACTTCACGGTCTCTTCAGAAAATCCTTTCTCGTAGTCTTCCTCGTTCAGGAGAGGTCCTTCAACTTGTAGGTTCACTTTCTTCTTGAGGTTCTTGAGGATTGGTTCGATGACTTCCTTCTTTCATGCAAACTGCAAGTCATCCACGTGTACAATGCAAACTGCAACCACTTTTCCTTGTCGTAGAAGACGGTAAAGTGCTGCAACTGCTGTACAACGCTCAAACTTCTCTTCCACCAAAAGTCCATCACAACAGTCTGACCAAAGACTGGATGCATCGCGTTGACCTGGCAGAACTCTTCCTAACTTCCAACACCAAGTTCCAGGGCTGCGTTCTGGTTGTTCCTGCATTGATTGTACGACGTGAGCTGCTTCTTCAGGTACTCGACACAAACAAGGTGTTCTTTGAGGGACTTGCAAAAACGCGTCTTTCACGTCGACACTGTAGATCGCCCAATTGTTGGCGAGAGCCAGCATGGGCACCAGTTTTGTAATTCCTGGGCTTGTCGCAGGAGAAAATATATCTTCCCTTTTTCCTTCTGTTTTGTATTCTCTGGCTACGAGCCTGGCACGTCGCTGCCAGCACCTCTGAATCTGCTTGGGCTTTGTTGTTCCTGCTGTGGCTTCGTCAACTTCAAAACCTGTAGCTTCTCTGAACCTCCAATCTTTCACCAACTTCGTTGTCAACCACTTGTGAAGTTCTTGTTCTGAGTCTACCAGAGGTACGTTCTCAGTTGCTTCCTGAGGGTCCGTAGAAACCAACGAAATAACTCCCATTTTTGTTAACCTCTTGATTTCCTTGACTGTAGCTTCATCATCCAACTTCTGAAGAAAAGCCGGATCCACGTTCGGTGGTCCTTTCTCCTCATCGAAGAACTCGACAGGGACCTTGGTAGAAACTTCTGTTGGTTCGCTCTCTGTCTCCTCTTCTTCTTCCGACTCGTACAAAAACTCATCATCTGCTTCGTAAACTTCATCATCATGAGGCATGTTGAGGTAACCGTCTGTTTCCTCCGCTCTGTTGACCTGCTTTCGTGACTTGCTGGGTGAGCTTGGTTCCTCAGGCTCTAGGCTGTGCTTGCTTGCTTCTGCTCTTGGTTCAGCTGGTGCTGCAAGTGCTTCTGCTGAGGCTGTAAGTGGTTCAACTGCTCTGAGTTCCTCCAAAATGGTGTCGTCATCAACTTCAGCTCTTCTCTTTCTGTCTCTCGTCACACTCATCCTGCTGCCTTCGCTTTGTTCCTCTCTGTCTTCAAGTGCTCGCTGCTGCTCTTCACTGCTGCTCTTCACTGCTGTCCTCCGAACTCGGAGGGTCGCTGGCGGCCTCGTCGTTCTCGAGCTGTTCGCGTTCTTCCTCGGCAACAGGGGGCAGGATGCTTAGCTGTGGTCGTTGTCTTTGCTTCTTCTCTGGAAGTACTCTTGCTCCAAGGAGTGGTGTGTTGAGGTTCCAGGTATGGACCTCTATGATGCTTGTTCTTTTGGAGTCGTACTGTTCTGGTAGTGGCCTCACGCTGCGTGTGATATGTATGCCATCAGGCTGTGCAACGATCCATGTGTCCTGCTCTGTCTTGCCTAAGAATATTCCTGCGTTCCATATCCTGTCGCCTTTTCTTTTGATCTTCAACCTCTTCGCCATCACAACAGTACCAAAGGTACAAGCTTCCCTGAGTAGGGGTATCCATGGATAACTTCCTGCGGCGTTCTTCCTGTGGAGCTGCTAACTGCGAACCTGTTGAGTAGCCAGCAGGCGTGTCTAAACGCCCAGCTTACTACTGCGTGCTCGTGCGGTATTGTCAGCTGTGTTCTTTCTCTGAGTTCATCGAGAAAGGTGTTCGCTTGCCTCCGTACTGTTTGTATTGCTCTGTCTGCGGCTCCATTGCTTTCGTGGTCGTAAGGAATGCTTTCCTGTAGTGTTGTAGAAAGTCCAAGGCTGCTGCGTACCTTCTGTACTTTGTCCTTGAGTGCTTTGGCTGCGTTCTCGTTGTCTGCTTTGAGAACGAGGGTGTTGTACCCGAGCTGCGTGGTGAACTGCACGAGTGCTTCCGCGAGGTGCGTCGTGCTTCCTGCACCTCCTTTCCTCTTGCAGGGCACCGCAAGAACTGCCTTGCTCCAGCTGTCCACAGCGACAAGAGTCACTGCTGGTGGCTCTTCACTTCCTGTGGTGCTTGTATAGCAAAAGTCAAAACTGATGACGGGCTTCGCGGAATCCGTAGAGCTGCTTGGCTTGCTCAATCCTTTCTTGTGGTTGTCTTCTCGTGCTTTCATAGCAACGCAATGGGGACACCAAGGCTGATACGGAAGGTGCGTCAAGTTGTGGTACGCTCTCTCCTCTTCCGTTGGTTCCTGTGGTGGTGCTAGGTGGTATGCTTGGTGGTGTTCCCGTTGTTCCTTGTGCTGCGTGCTGAGCCTTTCTTCTCTGACTGCTGTGGCGAGTCTCCTCAAGAGCTGCTTCTTGCTACCTGTTGTTTTCACCCCGTACGCTCTGCAAAGTGCTTGTAGTTCCTTAAGACTGCTCTTTTGCGCTGTGTACTCGACGCCTTCGTGATAGAAGCTTTCCTCCAAAACTTCAACAACTTCTTGTGGTACTTCTTGGTCTTCTTGTGCTTCTCTCATCTCCTCATCTTTGCTCTCTTCTGTTGCTGGTGGTGCTGCTGAATCTTCCTTCTCTTTGTAGTGCTCTTCTTTCTTCTTCTTTAGCTCCTCTGCTGCAGCTTCTGCCTTCAGATCTTCAACAACTCCTGGCTTCACACGAAGCCTTGTTTGACCAAACCACGGCAAACGAAAGTGTTCACGTAGAGGTAGACGGTCTGCTCTCCAGTCGTCGCTGTGTTCGTAGATTTATGTACTATAGATGCAGTCTCCTTGGGTATACCTGCTGTTCTCGAGATCTCCAAGGAGGACAGGACAGTTGGAAACACCTGTCGGGTCAAACAAAACAGTTCTTGGCACTACGTGGCGACGAACAACTTCTCCTTTCTCGAGGTCCATCTTCCAGTAGTCACGACCATGGCTTTCTTGGTCTGCTCGGTCTCCGGCAGCGTAAGGAGTGCCAAGAATCCAAAGTGGAATTGGCTTTGCTGAAATGGCTGTAACCACTTCCTTTTCTCCTTCAGCAAACTCTTCAAAAGGGTCTGCCATCTCGGAGTACTTTCTTGAAACTTCAACTGCTCTCCATCCTCTTTCTTCTTTCACCAAAGTGCTTCTGTACGGAAAGTGCGTAGGGCTGTACATGAGAGATGGGTTCTCATAGTTGCTTTGAGTGGCATACTTCACGATCACCATGCTGTCTGTGTTGTGCCAACCAGGTTCTTCTTTGTTCACTGCTACCTGAATGTGCTTGTTGAGCTGAACAACTGTGCGAACCATCTTGTAGTTGTTGCTGCTGTAACCTCTGCTTCTTGAAGGAGTTTGTACGTAGGCGTAGGCTGCCAAGCTGTTTTTGTGGAGATGCACTGGTATTCTTGAGCTTCCATCTGTAAGGCACATACCTTCTTCTTCATTAACTCGCAACTCCCAACCTTCTCGAAACAGCTTGCCTATGGCCATCAGCGGGTTGATCACCGAGGCAACGGTGAAGGCTTCCTGAATGCGACAAAAGCTTCCGTCGTCATCAAAGAACGTTAAGTTCAGCATCCTTCTGCCTTCTGTCTTTATTGCCTTTCCTTGTGCGTCCTGAATGGACGAAGGGCGAACCTTCAAAGGGGTTCCTTCTCTTGTTAGCCAAGAGGGCACAAGAGAAACGTCTGCGCCAGAGTCCAGGATAACTTCAATTCTTTGATGAAAATCACTTTCCTGGAAAAACTCTTCCTCTACAACGCGCACTGAGAGAACTTCTTGTGGTGGTAGTGCTTCACGTCCAAGGTACCAGTTTAGTAGAGGATCTTCTTGCTCTTCTTCGCTCTCTTCTCCTTCTGACAACACAAACTCTTCTGCCTCTGTCACTCTCAGAACTCTTCCAAAGTACTCAATCTCGAGCTCTTCTTCGTCTTCATCAAGCTCAAAAACTTCAGGGTAAGTGACGGGATCGTCGTCCATGTGGTACATTGCGATCTGTCGAACTGTTGGCTTAGCTGTAGACTTCGCGCTTGTGGTTCTTGTTGTTGCTGCTGAGGCGCTACTGCTCGGAACTGTAGTAGGCTGTGTCCTGACGCTTTGCTCGTCTTCCTCCTGTGCGTTCCTGACGTTCTGCTGCATGTCTCTCTGCTTGAGTCTGCAATTGGCTTCGTAGTGTCCAGGATTTTGGCAGTAGTGGCAAACGGCAACTCCTGGGTTGTTGTAGCCTTTACCTTTTCCTTTGCTGCTGTAGCCTTTTCCCCCGCCTTTGCCATATCCTCGGCCTCTGCCTTTTCCTTTTCCTTTTCCTCGTCCTTTTCCTTTTCCTCGACCTTTGTAGTAGTACTGGCTTTCTCCTTTTCCTTTTCCTTTGCCGAAGCCTTTGCCTTTGTACTTACCAAATCCTTTTCCTTTCTTTCCTTTCCCTTTGTCCTTTCCTTTGCCTTTCCACCGTTCCACTCGTGAAACATACATGTCTGCTTGTCCTTGGTGGTCTTTTCCTGAGTTGATGAGGTCTGTAGTGGTCCACCTTGCTGCTTGCTCGTAGGAGAGGAGGTACTGTCGTAATGTTCCGTACTTTGTGGTCTCCTTCTGGTTGGGTAAAAGATGTTGTCTCATGTTCCCTTCAGTTCCTCCAAGAATGATGGAAATCTTCATGTCGTCCGCAACAAGGTCTCCACTCGCTCTCTCGTACTCTTCAATCAACTCCTCGAACTTCATAATATTTTCTTGCGTTGACCTTTGCTTGTCGAACCTGTAGTGAAGAACTCCGTTAAGTAGTTGTAAAGAACGTGCACGATTGTGCGGCTGATGTTCTTCAACCAACAACCTCCATGCTTCGAAACCGTTCTCGTTGGGCACTTGTTTTAGAGTTCGTAGAGGACGGCCACGTGTATAGCTGGTGAGAATGGAATGTAGCTTTCTCGAAAGTGCTTGCTCACCTGGTGCAAGTTTGGTCCATTCCCATGATGCTTCTCTCCTATCCATCTCGACTGCGTTGATCTTCTCAAGGATGTCATTGTTGAGAGCACCTATCCAACTTCTCATCTTCAACCGAAACTCTAGAAAACCATCACGTTCTTCTTTATATGTAGTGGGGCCAAATACTTCTGGAGATTTGATCATCTTGTGGAGGTCGATCTCTCCTGGCCTTCTTGACTCTGCGTGCTGCGACAGTGCTGCGACTGCTTCTGCTGTAAGCTTTCCTGTTGCTGCAACCGCGTTTGCAGTAAGCTCTGCTTGTTGTGACAGTGCTGTGTTAGTTGCTTGGGTTGCTTCAGTGATTGCTCTCTGCTGCTGTGAAACTGACTGCGCGAGTTCCTGTAGTTGTTGTGAAGCGGTACCTGCCTGTACTTGCTGACTGTTCATTGCTTGGGCAAGTGCTTGTATCTGCTGTGTGTTTTGGGCAGTGAGGTCCGTAAGCCTTTGCAAGGCTTCCTCCATTGCAACTGCACTCTGCATGTGACTGTAAAGCAACACAACATGCAACCAAACTCGCTTCTTGAAAAGAACGCTGCAAACTGACCTGTGCAACTTCCTTCTCGAAACTTTCTTCTTCAACTGTTCTCTTTTTGTTTGCTTAACTCTGACCCAAAAATAGAGGTAGATCCTAGTGACCATACCAAGCGGGGTCCCAAGTAGAAGTAGAACTGGGTGACACATGCGCACGACGTAGCTCACGACGGGCTCAAGGCTTCTTCCTGCTTTCGCAAGGTACTCTTGAAACTCCAAAACCAACTCAAACACAAGGTTCTTGTAGTAGTTCACGTGGGGCACTTCTTTGTTCTTTAGGTTCTCGTTATACTCCGCGACATCACCATCATGAATACTGTAGTTGCAACTTTGTTCTTCTTCTTTTGTTCTTGTAGAACTCGGAGTACACGTTCGTCTTCTTGAGGTAGCTCGTGACGTAGATCTCGTTCTCGTTCTCGGTTTGGTATTGGGCTCATGTAGATGCGACCACAACGTGAAAAGTTCTGTGTGATCACCTTCTTGGCTCTTCCCGGCAGGTACAACATCCGCTGTGGTAATCTCGTTTATCACATGCTTCTTCTTGGGGTTCTTGTTGTCGAGGCTGAGGACCTTGTTCTTGTAGTTCAGCATGCGGTTCGTGGCCAACGGGTAGCCGTAGGTCTCGTTCACTTCAAACACCATGAACCATGACATGCCCATGAGAACCACAACCATGAAGACTTTTAGCCAAAGGTACTTTCCTGCTGCTTCCAAAAAGGTTCTCTTGTACTCGAAGATGCGTTGTTCTCGGGATCGGAGTCCGTTAGGGCAGCAGTACTTGCATGGTAGTACTCGGTGTACACTGGTTGCGTTCCTGAGGCCATGACATCTTCCTGAAACGTGGGTCTTCTCTCCGTAAGGGGAGTACCAGAGTTCTGGTAGCTCTTCCTTCCTCAGCCGGAGCAACGCGCTCCACCGTCTCCTTTCTCACAAGTTCTTTCACAAAGCTTCTCGCCAGACACATCAGCGAAAAAGCCAAAGCCAAGGAAACAATGGCGACAGCTACCTGTCGTTCCTGTGATAGCTTCATCGCTCCCAAGAGGTCTGAATCAGGGAGCTCCGCTACCATGTTGAAACTAAAGGCTTCTCAAGCTTTCCTTCCCACTCTACTCGCAAACACACTTTTCTCACTTCGCGGGCTGACTTTCTTAAGCCTCCGTGTCGTTACAAACGAACAGATCTGCTGCTTGAGCTGATCATACCAGACATCCCTCCAGGCTGTGAGGATGCGGTCCTTGTGCTCGGCCGGGAGCTGGACTTCACAGGCCCAATCGGCGACCGTGCCCGTCGTGCCTGTGAGGCTGTGAGCTTTGCGGCTGTAAAGGATACGACCCAACCATGCGCCTACCTTATCCTCCAGGATAAGGGTCTTCCAGCGAGGTGTGAGGGTCTCCTTCTTGAAGCGAGCAAGCAGCTTCTGGTAGGCATTCGTCAGGCCATGGGTTGGAGCTCCCAACCTTCTTTCGAACTGGGTGATGCCCGGCACCGTCTTGATCGGGAGGTTCCAGTTCCACGTCCGCATCTCCCACTTCTTAGGTGGGGCCTTCTGTGAGGTCTGTGAGTCCTCACCCATCTTCTCGTCGTCGGCGGCGATAGCTGTGGCTGTGGGAGGGTCCGTGCTGGCTGACCCTGGCGTGGCAGCCGTCTGTTCGGCTTCGCCCTCGGATGCTTCTTTTGGCTTCTCCTCGTCCTCTTTTATCTCATGCCAGCAGCGAACCACAGCCCTGGAGCAAGCATCCATGACCTTTTCCTGGCAGCGTAGGTCGGGACTGTGAGGATGGAGATCGGGGCCAAAAACTTCTTGCCGTCATTGCCTTCCATGGTGGCGGTGGTCAGGTCCCACTCCAAGTAGGCAAGGCCATTTTCCTTGAGCGCCTCTGCCACCGTGAGCTCACGGTCGGCAGCCGTTGCCCACTCTGGGAAATTCCTCACCACCAACGTTCTCTTGGCTTCCTCGATCTGTGAGTACATGAGGTCTTGCTCGGTCCATGCTGCGCGGATCTTCAGCATCCGGACCTCATGCTCGAGCGTGTTGATCTTCGTCGAGTGGTTCACCAGCTCGGCACCGACCTGTGAGAACGCTGCCTGCAGGGCGGGGCCGACCTTCTGCTGCAACGCCTCCGTGATCATTGCAGCACACTCCTCGCGAGACACCGGCTGTGAGGAAGCCGAACCTTGGGGAAGCTGCACCTCCCAGTCTTCAGGGCGAGCCACCGGTGCCGCTGTTGACAGCACAGACGGGCCGTCTCCTGTGAGCAATGCATCATGCTGTGAGATGCGTTGCTGCATCGCGGCGATCACCTCGGCATTCTTGTCGTTGGCTGCATTTTGCTCACTGCTCCTTGCACTCTCAATGCTTCGAGGCCAGCAGCTACTGCGGAGAGCTGCGAGGCCATAGTTTCAAGCACCTGAGATGAGGCTGCCATGGCGCCTGTGAGGATGCAGGAGAGAGAAAGGGGCTGCGAAAAAGCTTGAGCACTCGTGAGCTTGCAAAAAACAAAGCTGAAGCTGCGAAACGCTGCGAAGCGAAGCTGCCAAAAGCTGCGAAGCTGCCAAAAAAAACCCTGAAGCTGCGAAAAGCTGTGAAGCTGCCAAAAGCTGCAAAGCTGTTTATGGCGCAGCATGGCACGTTATGGCGCAGCATGGTGCGCTTTGATATGTAGGAGTATTATACTAGTATTAGTATTAGCATTAGTATTAGTATTAGTATTAGTAGTTAGTAGTAGTATTAGTATTAGTATCAGTATTCGTATTCGTATTCGTATTAGTGTTAGTATGAGTATTAGTATTAGTATTAAGTGTCTCGGCCCAAAGAAGTTTTTCCACCTGACGGGGAGGGCCCTCATTCCGTACTGCTCTCGCCATTTACCGCCTCACTGACCCCTGGGCAGCTAACGGTCGACCTCTGGCATCCTGCTTTTTCCTTTGGGGCCTTCGGGGATGCCACGTTCGCCGCCGCCGTCGTCCACGAACAGCTCTCGCGATGAGAGTCTGGACTCGGGTCCTACTGCTACTGGTATCCGGAATGGACCCAGAAACTTTCTGAGAAACAGCTGTCAGAGAAGCCGCAGAGCGAGCGGCTGCCTTGCAACAACGTCAGCAAAAAGAACGCAGAGTCCTGCTGGACACTGCCTGTCGCAAGGCACTGGTGGAACTCTGCATGCACTACCTGGCAGGCCACATCTGTTACTCCTGCTCTGATCGACGCACCACCAACGCCCAGCTGGCGGCACACAAGCGGAACTTCAATGGTTTGGAGCCGGGTGAGGTTTATGCTCGCGTCATGCCGCGGTTGGAAGAGGAAGCCTCACAGCGCCTCCATCGGGACTACGGTGCCCTGGGGCGCCTTCTCAACGAAGGGGTGCCGGAAAACGATCAGACATGGATCGAACAGGTCGATCTGCAGGTTCCCCACCGCCTGGGCTCTGCCTTCAGCAGCTTATGCGCCTGGCAATGCGCCATCTGTGCCAACACCTGCCGCGCTCGGCAGCCTCTGCAGTGGTACACGGTATGATTGGCTGGGTGGAACAGCGGAAGCTCCTCTCAGTTGCAACCATGCTTATTATGTTTATCTTTACACGCCTGGAAGAAGCGAATTTCAGAACTGGTATGGACGGTATGGAGAACATGCACGGCAGCAAGGGCTAGCTAGATTCCAGCCTGCCTGGCTCTTGCACCTCACGGATGATGAGGAAACTGCTGCGTTGGAAAGGGCCTGGTCTGCCGGCCCCGCCGCCGCTGCTTCGTCCTCCTCCTCAGCTGCCTGATTGGGGCCGACATCTCCGGCCGTTGTCGGCCTGCCCAAAAGCTGCGCAAGAACAGACGGCGCAGATCTTTTCTACGTCTTAGGCGACCAACAGGTCTGGCAGCAGTCCTAAGGAAAGCTCGCTCTTTCAGGCAGCAGGTAGCAGCAATGATTCTTTCAAAAGGCCCTCGAGATGCTGGTTCGGGCTCCTGTACAGCGGATGTGCGTCAAACCGAGCACTGCCCTCCCTCGAATCATAATCCCGACCCCAACTACGTAGGCCGCCCTGGTCCCAAGTCCAGGGATGAGTTGAACCAAAAACTGCACCCGATCCTGAAGCTTGTCCTCAGTAGCCTTTGAGCGCAATCCGCTCAGGCAGTTCGACTCACTGACACGAGGGTCGGGAGCTCTCCACGCCAGGAACTCCCTGAAGCACGAACCAATAGCTTCAACCACCCTCTTTATAGTGCAAACCAAGACGGTGTTTACAGTCCAGGGATCACTGCTTCCCTCCCCCATCATAGGAAACGAGCCTTTCTGAGAGCCCAGAAGCGAGCCCAACAGCATGGTAGAGCCAAGTATCAAGGCAGATGGCTCAGCCCTGACGAACTTGGTGTAGTCCATGCCCCCAAGCCACCCAAAGCCAACACAGACACGGCCGGCCGTGGAAAGCGTCTTTCCTTTGTGTCCTGGAATGCGGAGGGCCTCTCAGCCTCCAGACACAGAGAGCTCAAGGCTTGGCTTCGAAGTCCCGCGAGACTTAGCACCCAGCTTGATGTGATTCAGGAAACGCACTGGCAAGGCATGTTGGAGTACACACAGGATAGGTTTCTCGCTGTCCATTCAGGCGGAGATAACCGAGGCAGGCCTTTTGCTGCTGATTGACAAGGTAGTGTTTTTGCTTGCCATGGTGCAACATAGGGTCCTTATCCCTGGGCGCCTAATGCATGTACGCTTAGAGGCTGAGCCTTCCATAGATGTCATAGTCGGCTACCAGCATGCCTGGACCCTTCCCAAGGGCGGCTTGAGTAAACCTGTTGCCAAGGAAACACTGCTCCTGCGACGCCATGATTTTTGGACGGCCCTGTCCGATTGCATCAGTAGCCTTCCCCGTCGAAACCAACTTGTGTGCCTAGCTGATTTCAATGCTGATCTTCATCCGGATGGTCTGCATGTAGGCAGAGGGGTCTTTAAGCGCCCAGCCTCACACGCCCCCGTTGCACAAGCATTCCAGGAAGTTCTTGAGAATCACCGACTAGTTGCACTCAACACCTGGTGCAAGCAGGGACCGTCGGCTTCCACGTTCCTCTCTTCCTGAACAAGTTCTCACACTTTTCAACTCCACTCTGAGCCTGTTCGAGCAACGCGGAGCGAAAGGTCTTCGACGTGAAAACTAGAGTCAAAAGCTACTACTGTACACGTGTGTGCATACTGATACCAAAACATACTCGTACATACTACCACGGAGTGACACAGTTGTTCACCCCGCCTGATATGCGAAGCTCTCCTGGCTTCCGCAGATCATCAAAACTTTAACTGCGCAACGGCTTGCAAAACAAACTTTGGCACACACACACACACACACACACTGTAGCAACTCATATATACAAGCTAAGCTAAGCTGAAGCTTGCCACTCAGGGAGCACGAAAGGCTCCTCACTCACACACATGGGCACGAAAGGCCCGCAGGGCATTAAAGGCCCGCATGAAAACCATTGGCACTCCAGGCCGCATCATTGAGCACGCCAGGCTCGTATACATATAACAGAAAGCTCCAAGCCCAAGCTTATCCATCAAATGCATGCGTCGGCGGATGACACTCCCTGCAGCGGTAGTAAGCTTTAAACACTGACCCACGGATTGTATGACAGCTCCTCGCATGAAAGCATCTGCCATAGGTAGAAATACACACCTCCTCGGGCACTGCCGGCACTGCTGGCCGATCAGGCACTGGCGGCTCTGCTGGCCGCAAATAGAACGCCATCTGTAAAACCGCAGTCTCATCACGAAGACTGCGGATCTCACGTTTGCCGTCTTTCACATCTGCCCAAAGCGCATCACAAAGCTTTGTGAGCTTCGAGAGCTCGTCAAGTTTTCCGCGCAGCCACTTAATAAAATACAACATTGCTGCAAGACAGAAGCATATTGCGCAACCATACAGCGTATAATCGTAGTGTCACGTGTGGCGCCACGCCAGGGCGCAAGAATAGAAAGCAATTCCGAATCGCATGCACAATAGCATTCAACGCTGCTCTGTTCAAGCATTGCATGTACACTCAACGCTGAAGTACTGGGCTCATCTCCAAACCATAGCTCTGACCCAAGGCTCAAGAAGCAGAATACAGAAATGAAAAGCATGAGCAGGCCACTACAGGCCCGCATGATCACCATGGCAGCTCGTCCAGGCCACCACAACCACCTGCCAACAAACAGCCAATCATCATCGTCTGCGCTCGCATCGTTCGCGAGCCCCGCACTGCCCGTAGCTGTGCGTGAAGCCTTCGAAGTCGCACATGAATCCCGGACTCGCTGAAAAATTCACCCCACTCATCAAGGCCTACTGCAACGTCGGAGTTTGCAGAGTCAACGAAATTCGGAGCACCAAGCATCGCTCGAAATCGTCGTTCCGATAGCACCTTTGTTCCCAAATCAGAAGGATTGATATGGCCGGAAATGGGCATGTACGACAACACCTTGTTCTGAACCTTTTCTTGTACCCAGAAAAGTCTGGCGTCAATGTGACGCGTCTTTGAACTAGGGCCGCTCCTGTGTGCAAGTTGGCGGGCGGCTTGGTTATCCAATCTAATCGTGATTCGCGGTTTCTCACCCAAAATGAAGGTCAAACATTGGCTCAGGTAAAGGCCGTCGCAAGCAGCCGTCACAGAGGCGTAATGTTCCGCCTCACACGAAGAAAGGGACACAACTTTCTGTCCCCGGCACGAGCTGAAGACGGTAGCACCGTCTAGGAAGTGGACGGCCGATGACATCGAACGTCGGCTCACTTGCGAGCCGCTCCAATCGCTGTCCGAACACACCTCCAGCAAATGTTCATGATGGTCCCTCGACGGTCCTTGATCAAGAAAGCTGTAGCCTTTCTCGCGGGGCACAATGTGGATTCCAAAGCCTGCGGTGCGGCGAAGATACGCTGCTAACTTCTGCGCTGCTTTCAAGTCGTCCTCGCTCGGTGCCGTGAGCCGCTGCGCCAAGGTGCGAATCGGGAATGCACAGTCTACCCTATCATTGGACAAGTACATTGCAATCCCTATGGCGGCCCTAAAAGTGCTTGCACCCTCTGCATCAAGCAGCTTACTCCCCGACACCTTGAGGATGTCTTTCGAACATGGAACAGCTGAAGTCCTGCGCTCATGCAACCCAAGCACCTCGCACATCTTGTGGATCAAATCACTCTGTGCTTGAACAATCACGCCACTCTCGGTAACGCGATGTGTGCGCTTCAAGAAACTGACACTCTCTCCTTCCTCAGAGGCGATTGTCCATGAGCATTCAAACTCCTTCTCAAGTGCTGGCACAAAGTGTTTGAGCA